AATACAGATTTATCTCAGCAGTTTTCGTATATTTTGGTATGATAATAATGATGGTATGTTATATATAATTATATATAAATTTAAAAGCCAAAATGTTAAATAAGTAAATACATAATATCTTATCTAATTATGTTCATGCCAGTAATAAATTTAAGGAATATTGCTGTAACGGCCTTATAAAAGGTTGATGCGAGTTTGAAAATTATGAATAACTCATAAATAGTGAAATGGGTGCAATTATCAAATGCTGAGAAATCAACAGCCGTCAACTTCCACAAAGTTTCGCCGTGGTTTAATTCTTCCTCAAATGGTTGCGCGTAACCTTCCAAGACACCGGCAGTGTAGCCAACTCGCCGGTAAAAATGATATAAGGGATAATTATCAACCCATGTATGTATGATTCTAGGGCGGTTAATGATCCGATTTCGAGCTGAATTTGGTCGGCTTAAAATTTGCTTGAATAGATTTAGTGCGGCTCGAAATCAGTTAGTGACTCTTTATATTCAATTTTGAGGCTCGTTATATTCGATTTAGAGTCGAGCCTGCTTGAAATTGCATTGAAACGAGCTAGCTCAAATAGAGTTATGTGGATCTGTTTCAACTCAGAATCGACTCGATCGAACTCAAAATTGAAATTAACTGGCTGAAATTAAATTATTTGGATTTGTTTCAGTTTGAAATCAACTTGAAATTAACTCGTGACTCGTTTTATTTAATTTGACTTAGTATTTTATATATATTATAAATGAAAAATACTGCGAGCTGATTTCGAGTCAGTTCAAGTTGATTCATGTATCGCTCGAAATTTGCTTGAAAAAAAGATTGATTGTTGAATCCGAATATGCTCAGGAGACACGCTTAAGGAACAAAGCACTTGATAGTGAGAGAGACAAAGACAGATATATAGCAATAGCACAATATTGAACAATAAAATTGTGTAACATTTTATTCATGAAGTAGAACCCCTATTTATAAGAATGAATCAGTATCATGTTACATAATGTACCTCTAAACTATATAAATTTGGCCTGAGCGACACATATATATATGGTCGGTGGGCCATTATTTATGACTACCATTAGGTCGGGAGATTATTTAGACTGGGTGGCTACTTGCTGAAGTTCCACATCAACCGCTTTGGAACTGGAGGGCTTGTTTCTCTTTTTTGGTGTATATGGATTAGAAGGCGGCGGCTCGTTCGAGTGGGTTTGGTCAGTTGGGCATGTGATCCTTTAGGGGTGATTCCTTTCTTATTTGTTTGAGGGGCACGGTCTCTGTGGTTCGAGGAATTGGTCAGTTGAGCATGTGATCCTGAGACACCCTTGGTCCACATCAACCACGTCACCTCATTCGTCATCTTTGAGATATCTTTGTGATTCGTGTTGACACTTTTTTAATGTACATATTAAAGCTCCATGATTTTCTTGCTCCTTAATAGAGACATCTGCGTTAAGGAAAATATAATATAAATTTTGAACAGTCTGCGGTATTCATTACTATTTAATGTGTAATAATTAATTACTTTTTTTACTTCCATGCTGGAATCATTATAAAAATTATATGTGTATTGTCATAATTAAAAGGGTCTTCACGCCATAGGGTTGTGCTAGAAAATTTCATCATATGCATGTACCCGAGGAGAAGTCCTCTCGCTTCTCCATAGCTGACTTGACCAATCATAAATTTTTACCTAAGAGGTTGTCTAATATGGCCAGGGTTTTAGAGGCATCCCCTACCCAAATGGGGTATAAGTCCATTGTGCGAATCATTTCCAGCTTTATAGCTAAACCTCATTTTTCCTTCTTTCAAGCAGTAGCTCTGCCATTTTTCTTGGTGAGTGTAAGCCTCATCTCTTTGAGCTATATGTATTTAGGGTCATTGAACTAGGGTTTCCTTCCTTCGACTTTAGGGCTACTGAGTGTTTTTTGAACGATGATATTCATGGATTGTAGAAAAGAAGCCTATGGTTGTGTTGAGTCAACTACCTTCACAACTTGATATACTTAAGGCCTACAAAGTTTGGGATGATCGATACTTGGTATCCTGACCCGACTACCTCTATCTTTTTTGGGAATCTTTTCCTTCATGCTGACTCCTCTTTTGAATCTTGTCTGTTCTTCTTATGAATCATTGATATCGTCTCGTGGGCCACGCATGCTTAGTCATCGCTGCCCATAGTGGTTTCGTGATCCACCCCATGCCCTATGACCTAGTATAGATGTATAAAGCATCCAGATTTTCCCTTAAGATGATTTAAATCTATCAGTTTCCCAAATAATTGAATTTAATTAAATCATGTAAGCAAGACCCTTTTTATCGAGTCTTTTCTTGGGTGTCATCAAGATGTAATTAATCAATTGAATATGTTCCTTTGGGAGTGCTCTTGACCCTAGAACAAGCAAAAAACTTGATTTGATCTCATTTCAAACGTGCGCTTTGGAGCTATCCACACAAAGTTCATTTTATGAAAGTTCTCCACGTTCTTTTTCCTGTTTATCTTTTGCACATCGTATATCCCTTCTTTTGATTCTTCTCCTCTTCAGATCATTCATCTTATCTGAGAGAAAAATTTACTCAAATAAGAAAATAATACGACGATTATAAATAGACAAGCTGATGACTACTTAAAAATAAAAGAGAGAAAAAGAACAGAAACAACAGTACTTCCTCATGTCTCAAAAAAACTTTCGGCTCTTAAAAGTGCGGGCTCCTTGAAATATTCTTTTACTTGCATGGCATACACAATTTCCACTATTGACACCCTAAACTACGTAGCTCGTAGCCCCTTGTAGTCTTCATACAACTGTTCATAATCTTGTGTCGTCCTCTCATAGTATTGGGTCGGTCACAGGTCTCAGTTTCTCACCTGACCACCGTCCTAGTTGTATCATTCAGGTCTTTCCATTATCGTGAAAGGATTGACCTTCCTCAAAATGGTGTCTGACGAGTGTTCTACATTCCTCCCTTGGGCTTGATCCATTGTTGAGAGGAGCTCTCTTCCGGGCCTTGTGACTCTCTGGTTTTTGCTAGAGAGGGCTCTCCTCTACTAACATGTGTTTGTTAGCCCTCTCAAACAACTCAACCAAGTCTTGGGGTTTGTTAATGCTGATGTCGGAGGAAATCCTTCAGATCCCAAGCCATTCTTCAAGGTGGCTACCGCTGTGTCTACTTTATAGTCTTTCACATCCAAAATTTTCCTCTGGAAGCATGCAACGAATACATCGACTCTCATGCTGACCTTGCTTGAGCTGCCATAAGGACTGCACACTCTTGGTTGGTTTCCAGGCTTTAACAATTTACACTAAGAACAACCTCTTGAAATTAGCAAAGATGCTGATGCTCCCACCCGAAAGCGCATTGAACCACTTCAAGGGTGAAGACCTCAAAGTGAAAATAGAATACACTTGAATGCAGTTGAGATCTTAAGCAAGCACATGCAGACTTGAATGCATCAATATGGTCTTTGGGGTCTAACAACCCCTTGTAAGCTTCAAAGGTCGACAATTTAAATTTTTTCAGGGGCTCTACTCTATATATTTGGAGGGAGAAAGTGTTCTTCGGTTGTTCGTGGCTCCTCAGTGCACCCTAAGCATTGCCTTTCCACATGTGTGAATCTTGCACTTTCTTTGCAATGTGAGTCGGAGGCACCCTCAAGACAGTGGTTCGCCCTCCTTCCATTGTGCACTCTTGCCACCTCCGGTGGCTGGTGTTGTTCTTTTGAGGCCTGATTTTCTGCCAAGGCTGTGACATCCCTCAGAACTTCTATGATTTGACCTAACATCTACTCCATGACCCGAGTCGTCATCTCCTCCATTCCTCTCTACATACGCTCCATGTCGTCTTGTGGGGATCCATGTTAACTACAACTCTTCGGTCATTTCCTTCTCTCTATGTCTGTTGTGTTCGCCTTCTTTTTGACAACATGGATCCACCCTCAATGTATATTTTATGACGTTGAACCAAAATCTGTCTAGGAGACACACTTAAATAATAAAACGCCAGAGAACTAGAGGGAGAAAGGGAGAGAGGGAGGAGCAATAACACAATATTATATAGTAAAATTGAATAAAATTTACTCACGAAATGGAACCCCCTATTTATAGGAATGGTTTAGTATACAATTACATATTGTAACCCTAAAGTATTTCGGTACGGAGGGGGTACATTAGTCCGTACATAAATTTGGCCCGTGGGGCCCATGGATATGGTCAGTCGGCCGTTATGTTGAGCAACCCTGAAGCCGGGCGACTCTCAAACTGGGTGGCTCTGTTTAGGTCGGGCAACTATTAGGTCGAGCGGCTACTTGTTGAAGGTCCACATCAATCATCTTGGAACTGGATGACTCATTTCTCTTTCCCGGTGTATCTTGATTGAAAGGCGTCATCAGAGTGATTCTGGCCTCTTAGACCCTTCAGAGGTGATTCGTTTCTTATTCATCTGAGGCGCTCCATCAATGCGGTACAAAGATTTGGACATTTGAGCATGCAATCCTGACTCACTATTAGTATGCCCCGTGGGGTCATGTCACCTCTTTCGCCATCCTTGAGATATCTTTGTGATTCGTGCTAACACATTTTGATGTACATTAATCCAAAATTTCTAATCATTGCTCGGCTTGTTTGTTTCCATTTTATCTTGATGAAAGCAAAAAAATCGGTTCCATTTTGAAACGATCAATCATATTTGAGTTAAATTCACAGCCATACATTAAACACAATTATTTTGGTCGGTAAACTAACCTTCCGGTGATCTTAGCCTATAACATCAGCCGTGATGCATCACCCACCGGACCCATAAGCCCACAAATTTCAAATTTTCAGACTCAGAAAACCGAAATGGCACAAATCCACCCGTCCGTAATTTTGAAAGAATCTTAGACCCTTTTACGTAAATTCCTCTGACGGTTCTCAGTTCCCACTCTCGCCTCCAGGCTGTCCACGCAACCTTTTACAGCCTGTCATCAGCCCCATCAACCCATTTATATACCCTCCGCCCCCTTTCCCTCCTCATTACCGCCCCCCCAAAATTTCCATTCTCTGCCTCTAATATCTCCTGCCGGACGGCAATCGCCGGAATATTCCATTAGCTGCAATGGGGGTTTGCGCTTCCTGCGAGGCGACCTCGGTGGCTCCGATTACGACGTCGAAGCTTGTTCTGTTTAACGGCGAGCTGCGAGAGTTCGCGTGTCCGGTGAAGGCGGCGCACGCGCTGCAGAAGGACGCAGAGTTCTTCGTTTGTGATGCCGATGAGATGGAGGTCGGCGGATTTCTGTCGGCGGTACCTGACGACATGGAGCTCCGGCTAGGTCAGATCTACTTCGTGCTGCCCAGATCGATGCTTCGGCAACCCTTACAGGGTGCTGACCTCGCGGCTCTTGCTGTGAAGGCTAGCGCGGCGCTTGTGAAAGCATCGCCGGGCGGGGAGACGCCGCTGGTGTTCTCGGAGACTCTTCGATGCGAAGCGGCTGAAACGACGATGCCGAGGAGGAACAGGAGGAGGCGGAGCGGTGGATCTGGGCTGAGTTTTGAGTCGAATCTGAGTTCGATTGTGGAATGAGAAAGATTGACTTGTTGTTTTAGAGGAAATACGATCGCCAGACTACCGTTGCTGGATTCGGCCGAGGAACGGGAATGCGAGCTGATTTGATGAGATGAAAGCAGCCGGATGTATGATCGGATTGTTTATAGTTACGCCGTTTCGCAAGGCGGCGAGCGGCCGCGCCGCCTTCGTTCTCGTATTGCTCTTGTAAATTAGGGGATTTATTATGTTCTTGGAATCTAAAAACTGAACATTGAGCCAGAAAATGAAAGGAATGGAGATTTTGGACCATTTTGTCACTTCTTTGCTTTGCTATTTTTTCTTAAAAATGATGAAAAATTGTTGTGATTATTTTAAATTATTTTATTTTTAAAAAATTAGATTATATTTTTCTTTTTGGGATAGCTTATAATTTTCTGCCACATAAATTTCTTAAAAGTAATAAAAAAAAATAGTTCCTCTAAAAAATAATGTCCATAATAAAACCTATGATATATGTGTATTATTGGAGCAAAATTTTAGAAAGTACATTTATTTATTAGTTTTAAATAACGAATCAATTTTTATTTCGAAGGTTTTAATTTTTCGATAATTTTTATTTTTTATTAAATCAAAAAGTCATACTATTGGCTTTGAAAAATTAAAATCATTTTAATTGAGGGGTCCATTATAGCTTGTATTATTTCATTAATCATGCGGTTTATTGTGAGGGAGAAAAAGTTGGGGAGAGGAATAATTGGCAATTGAAATAATTTCATATTTAATAATGTTGTTAGATAAAATTAGGTTAGTTTATAGTGTATGATCACATCGAGGCGGTACGAATCATCATATCAAGGTGGTACGAATGATCAGACCAAGGCCTGTGGCTCAGATGTCTCTGAGCCGGTTGAGGGAGTCAAATCAAATCATTCAGATTGTCAACATTCAAAACCCGAAGTCGTTGCAAAATACTGAGTCACCTGACCATATTACGAGCCAACTGAACTCCATTCAGATTGTCAACATTCAAAACCCGAAGGTCGTTGCAAAATACTGATGAGTCACCTGACCATATTACGAGCCAACTGAACTCAAGGTCGAACAAAGGACATCTGCATAACTGGTCGAGCGAATGATATTCATTGATTGGGGAAAAGAGGACCAAGAAACCGCGATAGAAAAATATGTGAAGGCAGACAAGAAGACCGCATACCATCATCACATGGTTTGTTCGGCCAAAAGAACCATTGATTGGGAAAAAGAGGACCAAGAAACCGCGATAGAAAAACATGTGAAGGCAGACAAGAAGACCACATACCATCATCACATGGTTTGTTCGGCCAAAAGAATGAATGGGAGCAAATCTAGCAAGTGAGAGGTCACGCCGTTAGTAAAAAAGTCTGTTTGTTTAATGTATCATATAAACTATTTTAGTATCTCTGAGTTCTTTTGTATAGGAAGAGGACATGAAGATAATTGCATATATAGAGTACCTCCCATACCAATAAATCTGGCACCCTTTCATGAAGAAAAACTTTAGACAATGTGTATTACTGTTCATTCCCTTCTTTTACTTATTCTATGTGTTCTATTTCTTGGGCATGATTACTAGACATTTGGGTTCAAAATCCTAAAAGTTGTGTGAGTGTAGACTCATGCCTCCAACAAGAAGAGGAGCACGAACGCGGCGCTGGAACAACCGTTCGAGAAACACGACACAAACTATGGAGAAGGATACCAGGAGGGAGATGGCCCAATAAAGAGTAATAGGGATAAAAAAGCAAGTAATACTCATATATATATATTTATATATATAATTTTGATTTTGAAAAAAAAGTGATTTTTTAATTTTGAAAAATTATATTCAATGGATTTATTAACAGAGCACGATATTACAAGTAATATTTCACCTCGAATTGTGAGAATAAATAGTATTAGTTATTCAAACTAATAGATTTATGATATTTATTTGAATAGTATTAGTTATTCAAACTAATAGATTTATGATATTTATTTGGTATACGAAATTTCCAACAAATCATTCCTTTACCAAAACTAAGAATATTAAATAGGGTTTAGATTATTTGTGTTACTAATTCTCGTATAAGTGAAACCCCTACAATTAATTACATTTTAAACGATCGAAATCTCTTAAGAAAACTCTTGATTATAATCGAGAGTTTTCTTTTAATTAAATGGTTCCGCTCCGTCTTCATGAAAAACTATAAAATGTTTGAACATTTTATTTTATTCTATTTTATATTTAATTAACAAACAAGTCTTTTTTTTATAGAAAAAAAAAAAGTTAAATTGAACCATATATAAGATTCAAATCCAAAGGCGAGTTCATTGACGACTTTGTTGGGGTGAAGTTCTCAGTTAAGACTCAAGATTTCAACGTGCATTTTGCATATAACAATTAACTCTACGTTTATGGGAGAATATTATAGTTAATGTCGTAAAATTAATTTTCGCGCGGGCGAACGAAATCCCCTTCGCCCATACTATATTGCTCATATTAATAAAAAATAAAAAAGGTTATTTACATACATACCACTAGGGCTGTAAACGCGCCGAACATGAGAGATCCCAGGCTCAGCTCGTGTTCTAATCCTTTGTAT